TGTGAGATAAGGGGGAACGGGTTTGTGTTGATTGATCGCTTTGATTCCCCGACTCTAATATTGCCTTGGTCGGCCGCTCACGCCGCGTGGCGACCGCAGTTTGATTGTCGCTGGTGTCGCCAGGGGGACTCGTGTTCGTGGCGATGGCGGGTCCTGGGTTACGAGGGAGCGGCACGTTTCCCTGAGCTTTCCCGTAGTGCGGGGGCGCTGCCCGCGCAATTTCGAATTCAGATGCCGGCGAGTCCTCCCGCCGCTTTACCCTCCCGGAAACTTTCGTGCGGGCTCTATGAGTCCGACGCCGAGGCTTGAAGGCCTCGAACCCACCACCTATCCCCCGAACCCATGGCGGCCGGAGTTTTTGCCGTCTGCCGCCATGGCCTCCTCCCCCTGATGCCTTTTCCCGTCCCGATGCACGACGGCAATTCATTTTCACAGAAACCCTTCTGATTTTACCGTTTCGGAGTAATCCGACCCCCGTGGGACTTCGTGACGACAGCTCGACTCCGAGAAAAACCTTGGCCAAGAAACGAGAGCCTCCCATTCCGTCCGGGAGACTCAACCCTTACGGCCAAAAATCCTCGGCCACGCCCCTCCTAGAACTCTGATCGGCGACCCCGTACGGGAAGCCGCGAGGGGGCGTGAGGTTGGCGTATCACAGATACAAGCCAAGAACCAGAGGTCAAGTTGCTCAGGAGCAGTTTGAGAACAGAGGGGAAATCAACCACCTCAGAGCAGCTATACAAAATGGGTGCCCCCTCGCTCCTGCCACGTGGCGGACACCCCACTACCAGCACATCCTGCGCATAGGCTGTACCAACTTGATAAGATTGCGATGACAAAACCCCCCTCATCTGATAACACCTGAGAGAATGAGAAGTTCAACGAAAAGGGGGGTTTACCGCCACTTCATTCAACACACAGACACCTCCGCTGTCAATGTTGGAAGATGAAGAAGATGGGGAGAGGGAGAAATATTTCGAGCTGGGGAAACAGAACATCTTCAGACCCCAACGGGAGATAAGCATTATTGAGCAGTTAATAAGATTGATACATGGCAGACAATTCCTCATCAGATAACGAGGGAGAAAGTGTTCGAAGTGGGGTAGACTGAGCATCTTCAAATCCAAACTTACCTCTGCCCTCAAGTTCAATTGCAAACAGTGAAAACAGCCCCTCATCGCATGCCACAGGAAAGAGGGAGATGTTTGGATAACAGGGGAGGAGGTTCTGCAACGCCAGAGCACCTCTAGC